CATGCAAGGCGAGCAGGCTACCGCTTGAGCCACATCCCCAGCCTGACCTCTGGTTCTTGAGTGTAAGATGAGACCAGGATGCCAGACCCCAGATGGTGGAAGAGAGGGAGTGTGCCAGGGCTGGAGCATGCACTCAGTGGAGTACATCTGTCTTGCTTCCCCCAAAGAGAGGCTGGCAGACAGACACAGTGCTACTCCTGTTTCAGGGATGGACACTGTGAGGCCAAGAGAAGGCTTGCTCCACCAACAATCAAGACTTAGGACCAGGAATAAAACTCAGGGATCCTTAGAAGTTCTACCCAGAAATGAGGCCAGCTCCAAAAGGCCGAAGTCAAGCACAGGCCAAAGGACTGAGATCAGCCTGAGCAACAACATCTTAGTGGTACAATCACAGGATGGACGGTGAATTCTGACAACATGAATGAGTTTGGAAGCAGGTTGGCCTTTGGACCTTCCAGACAGAATTCAGCCCAATTGATCACCTCTTGTTAGCATTGGGATCCTGAGAATTGTGAGCTAACCCTTGAGAGGTATTTTGAGCTGCTGAATTGATGGCAGACCTGTCAACTAACACACACAGACACAGACACAAACACATTGGAATTCAGTTCTGACAGGAGCTGGGAGAACAGCAGCACACAAGCCATTCCTAACAATGATGTTGGTCCTAGTGGAAGAAACCATGTCCTCTGTAGGAGTCACTGCAGTTCTTGATTCTTATTCTACTCATCCGCATCCAGCATGGCCTAAGAATTTTGGGTTTCCCTTGCGTGAAATGTGCTGGCTGAGAGATATGACCAAAAAAATCACACGACAGAGACATAATTTTGGGATGGAGGATAGGATGGCTTTGCGACCTTCAGGGTCCTGCTTTCACACTGGAAAGAGAGCCAGGAGAACCTGTGTTTCCTTTTTTTATACAAAAGGGAGCTTCAAAAGAAGTTCTATGGAATGTTTTTTTGCCAAATAAGGTAGGAGGTGGGCTGTCCAAGCCTAATGGGTAACGCTCAAGTCCAGAGCTATGAGAGCTGTTCTGTTGTCAGAGCAGGGCAGAGATCTAATGCCTTGGGCAGTCTACACAAAGGAATGTTGGGATCCTTCCCTGAGAGATACCTAAACCTGTGTGGACAACTCAAGCAGCATCATGGGTGGCCTACCACAAGCAGTGGTAGCTGGGAACTGTCAGTGTCCTTCAGATGGACTCAGCTCCAGATACTGGAACTCAGGTGGTAAGATCAAGAGAAGTAACCACTTCTGGTCCTCTAGTCTTCTCCTGTGGATGGAGAATACTTGTCTAGGCAGACTCAAGGGACTGTACTACCTCAGACTCACTTTGTTCATGTCCTCTGTTGAGTTTCTGTGTCCATTTGGGCTAGAGGGGCCAGCTGTTTGGGAAGTCCCTGGTACAGTGCCAGGTACACAGTAGGTGCACATAACATCCACAGTAAGTACACTGAATGTTTGCTCCAATATAATGGTACCAGGCCTTGGAGTAGATTATATTTTTCTCTGTGTGGTACTGGGGATTAAACCCAGGACACTTTGCTACTCAATGACATTCCTAGCTGGTCTTGTGATTCTCCTGCCTCAGCCTCCTAAGTAGCTGGGATTACAGGGGTGTGCCATCCCACCCAACTCTTGGAGAAGATTTGGACTTCTCAACCACAGTCAGTTGCAGGGAGTTCATAAGCAGCCATTTGAAAGACGTTTTTTGTGAACTGTGAGTTTATAGATAAGATCCTGCACTGATCTGAAAACAACCCTGGCCCTTCCCTGGAGGAGCCCTGCCCCTCGCTCAGTCAAAAAGCATCTGTGAAGTGCCTACTCACTGTATGCTGGAGTGGGGACTATGCCAGCAATGAGAGCACAAGGCAGGAATCCTGGCAGTACCAGGTCTGCCTAGATGAGTACCCCTGCAGCAACCAGTCATGAGCAGTCCTTCCTCCTAGACACAGACTTCCTTCCTCCTAGCTCTGTGCAAGTTCCTTCCATTACTCCTCTTTAATTCCAGACAGGCATTATTTCACTCTTGGATGGAATGGGGACCCTTGGGCTCTCCTCCTCTCCCAGTTCCAGCCTCATCAGCTCCTTTGAGCACTTTACACCTTGGAGGGTCTTTCACTTCTGGGGCTTTCCCAGTACTTGCAACATGACTTTTCCCATGCTGTTTCCAACCAATCCACAGGGTGGCCTTTCTGACTTCTAGTCACGGCAGCCTCCTCTCTTGTGTCTCTTCCTTGTATTCATCACAATGTGACTGGTTCATATTTGTCTTGTAGTCATCCACAGCTGTGTCCCTTGAAGCTTGAATGAGCAGATGCTCAATTTAGGTTTGTTGCCCTGGTCAAGATCCCTATGCCTGCTGAGTGAGTCTTGCTATGGTCAGTCTTGGTTTCCCCATCCCCTCTTCTCCCAGGTTGGGTTCAGTGGAATTTTTTCCTCTCAGTTCTGGGGATTGAACCCAGGGGTGTTATATCACTGAGCCCTTTTTATTTTGAGACAGGATATTGCTAAGTTGCCCAGGCGGGCCTCCAACTTGTGGTCCTCTTGCAAAGTCATTGGGATCACAGGTGTACACCACCACATCCCATAGCAGAATGGCTTTTACATGTTTTAATTCAGAAGAGGTCCAGTTCTGGCCTATGAAAATCCCAAGTCTTTGGGTCTTTGCCTCTCCTTCCTTAGATTTCTCAGGAGGAACACCCTTGCTTTCAGGAGATGATTGGTATGGAAGTGAAGGACAGAACTCCTGGCTCCTTGCAGGCTTTGGGCAATCTACACATAGATGGTACTGAAACCTGTTCTTGGTGCCCATTCAATTATTAGTGGCCTATCTCATCTTCTCCAAATCCCTGCTGAGATCTAGGAGCATCTGAGACAGGTGCCTTGGGTGGGTACCAGCGTGTGTCAGGTGCTTCCTCAAAAGAGACCTCACACAAGAGCGTGGGCACACACAGATGCTGTCAGCGGGCAGCACTGCTGCTCCTGCTGGGACATGCTAGGGTGGCCTGTGGGGGGCGGGGGGGTCTCTCCTGGGACCACCAATGACTACCAGCTGGAGACAGATGCTGGGGATTCACAGGGGCCTGTGTCGACCTCTGGGAACACTGACGGAAGAGAGGCTGGACCCAGGGGAGAGTAAGGACGTGGGGGGAGGGGGAGGGCTCTCTGGAGCGCGTCTAGGGCCACGGCAGCCATTTGCGGATTTTACTGACAGTCATCGACGCAGGCCTCGGCGAGGCGAGGGCGGGGACTTCGGGAACGCAAGGTGCCGGCGCATTTGTGCGCGCGGTGGCGGCGGCCGGGCAGAGGGAGGAGGTGGCCGGACGTCGGGAGGGACGTCGTCGCGGCAGGAGCCGGGCAAGGAGAGTGCTGCGCCCGGAAGAAGCCGCGGCGGACCGCGCGACGAGGCCGAAGAGCAGACGGACCCTGCGACTTGAGAACCGTTTCCAACCGGAGCATCGAACGGCGGACAGGAAATGAAGGAGGAAGTGCAGCGTGCGCCTCAGCCCGCCAAGTCTGAACCCTGTGACGGTGCGTCTGAGCCTCGCCCGGAGTCGGTCGGCTGGGCACCTGGGGAGCCCGGGAGGTGAAAGGCCCCCGCCGAGACTGGCGGTCGGAGACCCGCCGCGGTCTGGCAGCCGGCCGCTCTGCTGCAGCGGCCGCGCGGCACCTGGGGCGGCCGGATCCTGCGCCAGAGCGTACTCAGCCGGAGCGCCGCGCCGCGCCGCGCCGCCCGGGGCTTGGGCTTTGTGTTTGTCGGTCCCAGCTTCCAGGCAAGACGGAGGCCTGGAGAGGTTGAGCGGCTTGCTGAGGGATGCTCGATTTGCATCCCAGGATGTCCTTTCGCTACTTTGGCTGCAACTGGGTGCCCACCTGGGCGACATGGGGAATGGCCCCTGCCTTTAGGGCAGTAGAGGGCAGGAGGCGCAGACGCTGCATTCTGCACCGTGTGCCGGCCCAGGGAGGAGCGGTGCCGCTGCGGTCTCAGCCTCACTCGCTCCTGTGAAAGTCACCGAATTGTTGCTTCTTGGGCCCTGTTGTTTTTGTGAACCCAGGCGACTCTTCAGAGTAGGACGGAGTGGCTTGGGGCAGAAAAAGGCGACTTATTTGGTATCTTCCCCTTCCCAAGTTTTGTGTCAGGATATAACAGGCTTGCCTTCTGACTTTCTCCACAGGGAGGGATTTACTGAAGTGACTGGTGAAGTGGCCTGTCTACACAGTCTTGTTATCTTCCTCATGTCTTTGCTGTAGGGATTCCTGCAAAGATCAGTACTGTGTCCTAGTGCCTGGGACCTGAGGTGTTCGGAGAGGATTTGTCTCAGACTCAAACATCTTACATCTTAGCTAACCTCTGTGCCTGCCTGAGAACAGGCTGATATGCCCAAGATAGTCCTGAATGGTGTGACAGTGGATTTCCCCTTCCAGCCATACCAGTGCCAACAGGAGTACATGAGCAAGGTCTTGGAATGTCTACAGAAGGTAAAGTTGCAGAGACTGTGGGCTTTGCTTAGGGATGAGTTGATGGTGCTTTAGCAAGAGCCTCATACTTCCACTCTTCATTCCTGCCGGACCCTGTATTTTGTCATGAATAAGGCTTCCAGTAGGGTAGGAGAGGCAATATCAAGTGAGCAAAAAGATGATTCTAGATGATAATAGGCTTAGGAGGTCCTTGGCTTCAGAGGAGTTGGCATCTGAGCAGAACTTAAGGGGTGGATGGGGAGGGGCAGTCACTTTCTACTGGATTTCTTAGAGTGCCCTCTTATACCTGCTCACTCCTAACCCCTGAGTTTCTTGCTCAGGCTTTTATCTGAGAGCTGATATGTAGGACATCATATTCTGTTCAGATAGGACAGGGAAATGCCTGGGTCCAGAATCATAGGACAGTTTCCTGTTTTGAGACTTGGCACCTAATTAGCCATTTTAGTATTTATATTATGCTTAAAAATGCTATTGCATTTTGGATAATGCTTCGCAAATTCCTACTAACAAGGGCTGAATTCACCTGTGTTTTTTAGGGCATGAGTGGGAAATGTCATGTGGACTAATGATGTCCCATGGGCTTTTCTACCATGAGCTATGTATTTGAGCAGAGCTGGGCATATCATGTGGCCTCACATCTTGCTCTGCATCCCCGTAACCCCTCTTCCTGACCCTCTTCAGAAAGTGAATGGCATCCTGGAGAGCCCTACAGGTACGGGGAAGACTCTTTGCCTGCTCTGCACCACACTAGCCTGGCGGGAGCACCTTCGGGATACCATCTCTGCCCGCAAGATTGCTGAGAGGGTGCAAGGGGAGCGATTCGTTGGTCAAGACTTGTCATCCTGGGGGAACGCTACTGCTGCTGAAGGAGATCCCATAGGTGACCCTACTTCCTGGCCTCTCCTGGCCTTGTGGTGATGATAGGGAAGGGATAAGGTCAGGGACAGGGCCAGTCCTCCTGGGCTTCTGTCATCTGTAGAGCAGAGTTGAACAGGAGAATTTTGTAACTTTCACATTGTTTCTTACTATCCTGAGTTTAAAACCAGGGTTGCAGTTTTTTTTCCTGGAATTATGGCACTACAGGTAGCCTTTGAACCTGTTTCTGGTTGTGAGTGTGTGGGTATTAGGTTCGTGGCTGCCTGTAGGACTGAGCCCAGAGTTGCCTGTTGAGACATGAGGACACTGACTCAGAGCCACCCCTTTTGTGCTTCCTTGTATCTGGGCAGCTTGTTATTCAGACATCCCAAAGATCATCTATGCTTCCAGGACCCACTCGCAGCTCACACAGGTCATTGGCGAGCTTCGGAACACTACCTACCGGTGCGTCAGGGAGCCCTCACCTGCCTCAGGGTCATAGGAGGGATGAGCTTTGCATGGAGCTGGGCCCACATCCCAGCTGTGTGCAGCACTGCTGCATGGTGGTAGATGTCCACATTCTTTCTAGACCCATCCAGGGTATGTGATTCTCTGCTAGGCTGAAGGAGGGCAAAAGGTGGTTGATTATTTGATTTTGTTTTTTTGGTGCTTGGGATTGAACCCAGGACCTTGTATAGAGCTTTGCTAGGCAAGTAAGTACCTGCCTCTGGGCTACATCCCCAGCCCTTAGTGCCCATTACTTGTGAGAAAGCAGCTTTGAGCTGTGGCTATCCTTGGGCTGGCATACCAGGCTCTATTGTGTTGGCTGTGGTGGGTTGGGACAGACCCCCCCAAGGGTTGCTTGTGAAGGGAATAGAGTCTGCCCCTTGCCAAGAGCCAAATGAGTCTTGACACCCTGCTCTGGGTTCTGTTTGAGAGAACTTGGACAGCAGGTTCTGTGCAGTTTTACCTGCCTGAGCCACATTCAGCCACTCTGCTCCCTCTGCCTGCCAAGTCTCCAGTGCATACTTACGCTTCCCACAGCTTATACTGCTGGACTATACTATGTGGCCATGTGTTCTTTGTGGCATCCCTCTTTGACCTTTTACTTCTCTTCTGCCAGGCCCAGGGTATGCGTGCTGGGCTCCCGGGAGCAGTTGTGCATCCACCCTGAGGTGAAGAAGCAGGAGAGTAACCACATGCAGGTGGGTTCCTGGGGACTTACTCAACCTCTGTTGTTCTTTTGGGCAGGTGCTGCCTGGGCACTGGAGGCCTGGGCTGTGCTCTAGTACATTCTGACCCCTGACCTGTGCCCCTGCTGGACTGGGCCAGGGCTTAAAAGTGTTTGGAGGTGGGGAGAGGGTTGGTAAGGTCTGAGGTGGGCCCTCTGCAGCTGCTGCTCCAGATGTGTGCTTGGGCCTTTCTCTTGCAGATCCACTTGTGCCGCAAGAAGGTGACCAGTCGCTCCTGTCATTTCTATAACAATGTGGATGGTAAGAACAGCTCCTTGAAGTTGCTCCTGTAGCTTGTCGCATGGTAGGGTCAAGGTGAGGCATGCAGCTGTCTAGGGCTTGGCTGGGTATCACGGCCCACTTGATTTACCCCCGTACAGCCAGTAGGGCTGAGGCCTGTCTGTCTTGTGACTTGAGGGGTCACCTGTGTTGGGTCTCTGTGTGGGCTATGTTCTCATGTGGTCTCAGAAAGGCCTACTGGCGGGTGTGTGGCTCAGGACCTCACCACCGCCGGATGGGAGGCTCTCTGCACCTTAACTCTCTGTACACGTAGGGAGTATGCCACGCACCTTCTCTTCCATCTGGAGCCCAGAATGCTGCTGCCTGCCAGATAGCGGGCACCTCGTGGTGCCTCGGTGACCAGTCCCCTGGAGAACCCAGGTGTCGGGATGCCTGCAGGTTTCCCAGGTGACTGGCTTCTGGGGAGCTAAGTGTGTCTGCCTCCCCCTGATTCCTGCTCCTGCATCCTTTCTCTTACTAATTTAGCTTTGACAAATCACAGCCCCAAGTGTGAGTCCCTGGGTCCAGCCTGGGGTGGCCATGGCCTGACAGATGGCCTCATTCAGATATGGGATGAGTGAGTGCATTCAGGGTTAGTGACAACAGCTGGCCCTGGTGACTGTGTGCCTGGAGCCCCTGAAGGGCCCAGGGCAGGGGTCTAGCTCGAGTGCTTTTTCTCCAAATCATTAACTTCCCATTCGTGTGTCTGTTGAGGGATTCTGGGGCTTATCACAGGTCCCCAGAGAATGTGACAGAATGAACTTCCTGTGGCGGGGCCCTTAAAGTTGCTGAGGCCTGAAGGGTGGCACATCTGCAGTGTAGGCTGTGTGGCTGGGGAGCTCACACTTCTGTGGTACTAAGATTCTGTTTCTTGCCTTGGTTGGGACTGCCATGCTAGCACAAAATGCAGGGACCCTGGTGACACAGCCCTGGAGTACTCGCAAGGCCTTGGTGGGCCTGAGAGCTACTGTCTGCTCAGTGTGTGTTGAGTGCCCAGCACAGCAGGGCTGAGGACCCTGGGGCTTCTCATGGTGGTCAGGTCAGAGGCTTGAACGGGGGATCTCTCATCACCCAGCACCAGGTTTCCCCATTTTTTGCCCCTTGGAGATAGAACATGGCAAGGACCCTGACTCCTTCCTCTTTCCCTCTTTCTTGATCCTTTTTTTTTTTTTTGTGTGTGTGTGTGGGGGGGGGTATTAGGGATTGAACCCAGGAGCACTCTACTGCTGAGCCACATTTCCAGCCCTTTTTTAAAGTCTTGCTAAGTTATTGAGGCTGACCTCAAACTGCTGTCCTCCTGCCTGAGCCTCCTGAGTCACTAGGATTACAAGTGTGTGCCACTGTGCCTGGCTTCCTTTGCCTTCTTGCTTACTGATTTTTTGGTCTGGTGGCACCAAGGACCCTTAGTCACTTCAGTGTGTGATTATCCTGGCCTGCTGGGTGGTCCTGAGAAGGACTGTCTGTCTGCATTATGACAGTGGTCTGGAGGCCATGAATCTGGACCTGCTCTCCAGATGTGCTGTTTGGAAACTCCCCATGGTTTCTGCCTTCTCTGGCTTCTTCAGAGGAAGGGTCTGTTGGGCATCTCCAGGCCACATGGTAGGGGTCTGTGGAAAGAAGGAAGGTGTGCACAGGAATCATTGAACACAGACCTATCAACAGTAGTCTGGACAGGAACAGTGTTTGGTGATCTTAGTCACTGGTCCTGGCCTTCTGGTCCTGTGTGTCTTCTGTGACCAGCCTGTGGGTGTCAGGTCACCTGGAAGGTGATTTTCCCCTCACCTTGTCCACCTCTCTGTTCGTAGTCTCCCACCTGGTCCCTGGTAGCACATGTGAGCTTGCTTGATGCTGTCATCTCTGCCCCATCCTGGCTGCCTCTGTTGTTCATAGCCCTAGCCAAGCTGGCCTCTGTAGCTTGCCTGTTGGCATTGTGCCAGAGGACCTGGTGCGGTGCCTGTGGGAACGGTTCCAGCCAACTTTCTGTAGCTGCTGTGGGTTAGCGCTCAGGGACCTGTAGGCCTGTGCTCTGCCCCAGCTGTCGCTTCCACTGCTCCTCGCCTGCGTAGGTCCTGAGGGCTCACTGCAGTGCTGGCCCCTGGCTGGAGATTGTCCACATGACCTGCTCCTTATGACCCTGTGCTCCTTGAATCAGTGTGGAGGTGTGGTGGCAGCTGGCCTGACAGCTCTGGCCCTCTAGATATCTCCTCTCCACAACTTTGGGCTCAGTCTTAAGAACCACAGGCCAGCCCCCAACCTCACTTTGAACTCACTGCTTAGCCTGTTGGAGGCTCCCTCGGCTGTGAACCTGCACATCTTTGCTGTGAGGCTGTTTCTAGCAACCTCTCAGCTCTTAGCTGTCTTTGGAGTGGGCTGCAGTCCTGGTGAGTGGTTCTGAGGCATAGGGTGCCGTCCACCTGGGCATTAGCCTGTGGTGTGCCATGGGTCAGCCCTAGTTGCCCTTTCCTTGCCTGTTGTCCTTCTTCTCATTCCTCTTTTCTGTACTGACTCCCTCAAATCCTCATGGGTTGGCGATCTGCCCAGGAATTGGCAAGTTGGCTCACTGCTGCCGTGTGTGCCGATTGGCCATGTGTTGCTTCGGTGCTGCTGAAGATCAGGCTGCCTTGCCAGGGGGCGTTTGGGGAAGGGTCACTGTCGGGGTGTTTGCATTTCCTGGCCTCTGCAGCTGATGCATGGGCTGTCGTCATACTCCTGAGGGAACTTGGCACCTGTAAAGGGTGGAATGAAACAGCCACAGTGAAGCCAGTTGTTGGGGGTGGCCCAGTTCTACATGTCTGCCCTGAGACTCTCTGGTGCTCCTTGGAAAAAGTCCCTCGTTCTGCCCACAAGGGCCCAGGGCCCAGGAGTTGCTCGTTTAGCTTCCAAGGGATTCCCATGACTCCAGTTTGGGGATCTGTACTGTGGTAGGGGCAGCCTTTAACATCCTTTCTGCCCTGAACCCTGTATCCATCTGGGTAGGGCCCATTTCTGGGCTGCGGTCCTGAGAAAGGGTCAGGCTAGTGCTCAGCTTGGGTGGGGCAGGGTGGTCTCTGCTGGGGTGACCCTGGCCTCCTGCCTGTTTGTGCCCTGCTTCCGTTCCCAGGAAGTGCCAGCTCTCCTGGCAGCTGCAGCTCTCCACCAGGTGGCCACTCTGGTTCTGTTGTGATTGGTGGGAAGCCAGGGAGCACCACTCACGAGATACATCTGTGGGTTCTGGTGACAGGCTGTGGCTCTTCTCAGCCTCTCGGGGTTGCAACCCTCCTGTCCTGTCTTGGAGTGTCCAGAGGTGGAAAGGATGCTTGGGACCTTTAGGGACAGTGTTGGCATCTCTCTCTAGGTTAACCCTCTGTCTCAGACTGGAGCCCGCCTTCTCCGGTCCAGGGCAGGACTCCCGTGGGGTTTCTCCAGGTGGAGCCCTCCCTGAGGACCTGACTCATCTGGTGGGGATTCTTCTGGCAAGTCCATGGGTGGTGGCTGTCCACACTGCCTGCTGCACAGGAGCCCTTTTGTTCTGGATGTCCCTCCTGGGTCTGGGGATAACTGAAGGTACTTGCTTACCCTTCCTGTCATCTACAGAGAAAAGCCTAGAGCAGGAGCTGGCCACCCCCATCCTGGACATTGAGGACCTGGTCAAGAGTGGGAGTAAGCACAAGTAAGAGCCCTCAGGAAGGCCACAGCTGCTGTGTGCTTCATGGTGGGCTCATGGACATATTTTTTTCCTTTTCTTTTCATGAGATTAGCAACTGTTCAGTGTGAAAAAAATTTAAGCAGTTCTGAGAAATATGAAGTGAAATGCCTCCTCCTCCTGGCCCTTGCCCACCCCCCGGGGACCTTGGACAGGAACATGTGGTCTGTGTGCACTGTCTCCAGTTGGGTCCTCATGTACTCCACCTTGGGGGACTCTCTACGTGGGTGCTAAAGCCCACCCCTGATTCTTCTGGGGACAGCAACCCTGTCTTCCTCTTTTAGGGCTGCATGGGTTTGAGCAGTGGTAGGGAAGACTTTCAGGGCTGGGTGTAGCTCAGTAGCAGTGTTTGCCTAGCACGCCTTGGACCCTGGGTTTCACCCAGCATCGCAGACAGACAAAACAAAAGGAGCATTCTTGCACTTAGGGGGTCACCCTGCCTTAGCTCTCCCCTGTTGTCTTTGTCCCCGTGGCCTGTGTCTAGGAACAGGGTTGGTTCTGTTTGGTATAGAGTTTCAAAGTGGACAGCACCATCACGGTTGAGAACACTCGTGGGCTCCCCACTGTCTGAGGCCCTGTCAGAACGTGCCCAGTTCTATCAGCTGCAGCCTGTATGGCCCTTTGTGGTTCTCACTGCCTCTTCCTCCTTACTCCAGAGTGTGCCCGTACTACCTTTCCCGGAACCTGAAGCAACAAGCTGACATCATCTTTATGCCGTACAATTACCTGTTGGATGCCAAGGTGAGATCTCAGCCTATGTAGCTGATGAACCCTGGTGTGGGAGTGGTTTCCCTGGAGGACTAGCCAAGCCTTTTCTGATTCAGGCCCTCAGAATAGCAGTGTGGGCAGGATACCTCTGCTGTAGGTCAAGGGCGCAGGACCTGGCCAGGTGCAGGGGCCTCCTGCCTCACTCATTTGCTTTTAGCAGGTGGTGTCAGCACCCTCTTACTTAACATGGTGGGAACAGCATCCTGGGTATCTTGTGCACCAAATCCCTTTGCCAATTTGTTATTTTCTGTGATAGATGTTCTTTGAGAATACACTGTGCTGGGTGCTGTCCTAGGCATGGCAGTGAATAAAATAGTCACTCATATGGAGTATAGATTAATCAAAGGGAGTCAGCAGGAAGATTCGCAGGAGCTGGTGCTACTGAAGAGCTCTAGAGTGTGTGGAAGGGGGCCCCAGAGCAAGTGCGGAGGCATGTGAGTGGTATAGAGGCCAGTCACACCATGAGGCCATTGCAGAGTCCTGTGGGAGATGGCCATGCCTGTGTAGAGCAGTTGTTGGATTCGGGGCCTGGAGAGCCAATGAGCTCTCTGAAATTGTGGGTGGTTCTCATGACTTGAAGCTTTTAGACCTGGCTGCCTGGGAGCCACCTGGAGAACTATTGCAAATATGGGGTACAAGCCCCATCTGGAATAATCACATCACAATCAATAAGCTGCTCCATGGTAGAGTGCTTACCACCATGCACATGGCCCTCGAGTCAAATCCTCAGCACTGCACAAATACCCAAGGCTGATTCTGATATTTTCTTAGAAATGTGAGTGATCTGGAAGAACAAGAGGGTTTTGAAGAGCAGAGTTGGAAGTTCATTGTGAAGTCTGGGAAAATGTGTGCTTATAGACACAGATCAGTGCAGCAAATGGTGGCCCCCATCCTTGTAGGCAGCAGCTCATTTTCAATACGTGTGCCAAAGGCATTCGAAGGGAAAGGAAAGTTCTATTGTGTTGTTCTTTTGAAAGGTGATGGGATAGCTGGTTATCTATTTGAAAAGTCAACACTCAACTTCACACTATGCAAATGTTCTTGTAAAAGCTGAACCTGAAATTTCTAGAAGGAATGGGTTGGTCTTTGCAACTTTGTCTTAGACTGAGGTTTCTGAGCTCAGACACAAAGCACTAGCCATAAAAAAAAGATGGAAACATTGCCCTTCACGAATGTAAAGCTTAGACTCCTTGAAGGAGCTAGGGCCATTAAGAGTGACAGGCCTGGGCCATGAATGTGAATAGCTGACCCAGGTCAGCATGCAGTAGGTGCTCAGCGCTCTGAGCAACAGACAGGTGCTACCTAAAACATGTGAGATGACACTGCATTCCACTGAAATAGCTGGGGTGTGGCTCTGTGACAGAGCACTTGCCTTTCATGTGCCAGGCCTTGGTCTTGATCTCCAGCTTCACCAAAAAACAGCAACAACAAAAAACCCAAAGCCCTAAGAGTTGGATGAGGTGTGAAGCAACTGCAAGCCTCACATGCCGGTGTGGGCAAAGAAAGGGCAGCAGCTCTGTGAGTACTGCAAGCCTGTGGCCTGCTGCAGTGTCCAGACTTATACACTCGAAGTCACCAGAGCTCATGCACAGTCAGCCCAAGGCCCATGTCTCAGCTGTGCTGTCCAGGAAGGCTGGCACAGCAGAGGCCCTCTGCTGACATGACATTCCAGAGATTAAACAAGCACACATCTGTCAGAATCCTGTGGTACGCCTAAAACAGACATTTGACTGTACGAAGATTTAGCTTGAAATTAGGTTGATTAAGCTCAGGCCACTTCCCTCAGGCTCTGGGGGTGGGACTGGATGCTGGACTCTTAACCGTTGGTGCAGGCTTCTCCTCTGCCTGTCTGTGTGCTAGGGCTTTGCGGGAGCTTTCTGCCAACTGCGGCATGCACCTTTGTGCTGTGTTTTTCTCTGTGATAGACACCTGTCGAGTGTCCAGCTACTGATCAGCCTAGGGCAAGGTATTGCCAGGTTGCCATCCTGAACCAGCCTTGAGCACTGCTATTCCTGCCAGTCGGGTGTGGCCCTTCCTGTCCCCACCAACACTGAGTGTGTTCTGTGCTTGTGACCTTTGGTGGCTGCTGCATGCCCTGGTACCCTCTTGCCCTGCCTCTGCAGGCTTGCACTCTCAGGATGCTGCTTTGCTGGGCTCCAGCCCATGGTTTCTTCCCCTTCTCCTTATAGAGTCGCAGGGCACATGGCATTGACCTGAAGGGGACCGTGGTGATCTTTGATGAAGCTCACAATGTGGTGAGTCCCCTCTGCCTCTGTGCTGAGCACCTGCTGTCCTTTCCAGCTTCCTGAGCATCCCTGGGGGCATCTGGCCAGACCTGGTAATAGGTGCTTCTGCTGCACTGTCTCCTGGGATCAGATACCTCAGTGGGGCCTTGGACACACTCTCAGGCCCTTGTCCTTCCACCTGCTGGTGAACAGCCAGGCCCATGCTGTCCTGCAGGATCTGCCCTTCAGGCTGCTTGGCTTGACCCTTGGGAAGCTGCCATGGAGAGAGCTGTTCACCTCTGGTGACTGTGGCAGCAGGAGCAGCTCCTGAAGTCTTTCCTGGCTTCTTTGTCCCTTGTCCTCAGCACACTTCCACCCTCCCTCCATGGTTTTCTGCTCAGGAGTGTGTATTACTTGGGATGGCCTTGGAGGCTGGCCACATGGGACATCCATGCCTCATCCTTCTGCTGCAGAACCTGGGGTGAGGTTCCTCGAGAGCTGGGTTCCCATGGCAGGGCCTGGTGCTCTGAGGTGCAGCAGCCAGCTCCCACCAGCTTCCAGGCATTTGCTGTAGGAGGTGGTGGATGTTATAACAGATTTTTCTGACTTTTGAAACCAAAAATTTAGATTTTATTTTTTTGGTACTGGGGATTTAACCCAGTAATTTACCACTGAGGTAAGTCCCTAGCCCTTTTTGTTTTATTTTTTAATTTTGGGATGATCTAACTAAATTGCTTAGGGCTTTGCTAAGTTGTTGAGACTGGCCTTGAACTTGTGATCCTGTAATACCCAGTTGCTGCCACCATGCCCAGCTCAGAAATCTAGATTTGAATGGGAAATTTCCCAGTTATAGAACGTTGGCAACTCAAGTGAAATAGTTGTTTGAAACCTTGGTTTGGGCCATTTAGTCATCTTTAGTCATCTTGCCTCTGAGACCGGGGGCCATGGCTCCAGGGAGTCAGCTGTGAGCTTCTGGTCCCTTCTGTGCCCCTTTCCTGCTTTTCTGAGCCTCTGTCCCACCCTGCTCTCCTCACGGGGCTGTGCTTGGCCTCTCAGGAGAAGATATGTGAGGAGTCAGCCTCCTTTGACTTGACCCCCCGTGACGTGGCTTCGGGTTTGGATGCCATTGACCAGGTCCTGGAGGAGCAGACCAGGGTGGTGCAGCAGGGGGAGCTCTGCCTGGAGCTCAGCGCAGACGCCCTCGGTACAGGTGAGTGCAGAGCCTAGGGCCAGAATGCTGAGCAGGGAGGCTGAGCCTGGTCCTCCTGGAGGCCGCAGTCCTGCACAGCACTGTGTCTAGCTGGCATATCAGGACACTGACTTGCCAAGCGGTTTCTTGGGCAAGACTATGTGAGGTCCCACAGGCTAGGGAGGGCTGGCAACATCCGAGGATTCTGGAGTTTTCTGAAGCACTTGTGTCCTTTCCTACCTTGTCCTGACTCTCGGTGAAGGCATTTTCAGTGTCCTTTGAATCTGCTACATGCTCTAGGTGTTGTCGCCGCTTTCCTCCCGATGTCCTCAGGCTGTGTCACACAGTGTGCTCTGAGGACACTCAGGAAGTGTCCGTATGTGCAGGCTGTTTGTCCAGAGGTGCACGTGTTTGCCCAGGTGGGCTGTTCTAGTAGGACGTTCGCATCTGCAGACAGCACTTAGTGGGAGTGCCTGGTTCTGCTGTGTCGTTTTCCTGGACCCGTATGCATAGCCTTGGTCCCTGCCTCTCCTTTGAGGTCTTGTGTGTCAGGTCTGTCCATGGGAAGGATGGAGGCCCACGAGGACCTAGGCAGCCCTGGCTTTGCCCTTCCCACCGGGCTCATGCCTCTGCCCTTTCTGCTGGGCTGATCTAGCTCTGATGCAACACTAACGTGTGTTGGTAGGAAAGTGTGCTCAGCATAGAGTGTTAGGGCCCTTTACACCTTAGAAATTATTGAACTTCATTTTTGTGAGTTGTATCTATTGACAGATACTGGAAATAAGTATTTATGTATGCCTTCAAGTAACAAAGCATTGCATGTTAGTGTGGCTTCCTAGAGCTGCTCACATGGGGGTACTAAGACAGTGGCAGTCCAGATCCAGGTATCTGTCTTTGGCTCCTTTTGGGGCTCTGAAGGAGGGTCTGTTTCTGCCTCAGCATGGGCAGCACTGGATCTGGGTGTGGCTGCATCACTGCCATCTCGGCCTCATCTTGACTCGGGCTTCTCCCTGTGTGTCTGTCACATTTCCATTTCTTGGAAGGACCCTGGGTGCTGGATGTTGAGCTGTGCTGACCCACAGGCCTCATCTCTGTTGCTTATATCTGCAGAGACTCTAGCCTCTCCCAGCTCCTAGAGGCTACCGGCGTCCCTTGGCTATGGCCACAACACTCCTACCTCTGCTCCTGTCCTCACTCCTCCTTCTCTGAGTGTCCTGTGTGCTCCGTCAGCTCATTTCGGGCTCACGTGGATGATCAGGACACTCTGCATCTTGAGACCCCTGAGTTCATCCTATCTGTAGAGTTCTTTTGTCACAGAAGGTGAAGGAGTCACAGGTTCCAGGGATTGGGACATGGCATCTTTGGAGGCCACCATTCTGCCACCCTCAGTTCTGGGAGATCGTCTATTCCTGAGAGAAGAAGAGAGGAGAGGCATTAATGCATGGTTATCACTAGTGGTCGTGCAGAGGAAATAGGGTTGGCCTGCAGGACCCCTGAGGAAGGGTCTGGCCTGGAGCCCTGGGCCATGCTGGCCCAACCGGAGTGGATGGTGACACAACGCTGCTCTGAGATGGCTCTGGGCCTGTTGGAGTCTACTGCTTTTTCTCTGCGGCATGGGCTTCCTTCTGGTAGGCAGGGCATTGTCCCCTTGCTGGTGAGTAAAACCTTTAGGTCAGGGCTGTGTGGGACACCAGAGATAGTGCCTGTGTCTTGAGTGGTGGGGACTTTTATTTTAAAGCTCCAAGTGGAACTCCCCTGCTGCACCACCCTGGTCTGCTCCTCCAGGACCTGGTCATGGCATCCATGTACTTTTTCAGAACTGGGGATGGAACCCAGGGCCTCATGTATGCTGGGCAAAGGCTCCACTACTGAGCTACACCCTGTCTTGTCGTGGCACTGTCCTCAGGATGTGCAGTGACCTAGGGGTGGAGCATCTGTAGAGCTGTTATTTCAGTTGTGTTTTAAGAGTCATATCCCCTTTTAGGGTTTCTTTCACTTGAAGACCCAGTGATTCTGCTGCAAGCCATCCCTGTTCCCGGTTCTGCAGTGGTATTGTCCAGTGTACACTCAGCTGTGCAGTCATCCCCTCTGGACATGTGCCAAGGCCTAGTGGTTGTCTGCAGCCTTGGTCGATACCTAACCCTATGTTAAGTGTGTTTAAGTACCTGCTAAGGCCTTTTAGATCATAAGTTGGGTGCAGTAATAGCTCAACTGCAATAAGCAAGGCGGGGATTCTCATAATACATTGTAATACAATTGGTGTGAATGTGGCCTCCACTTTGACAGAGATTGCTGATCTTGGAGACCTCAGCATACCTGTTTCCTCCTCTTCATGTTGGGAGCATCCACCTTCTCAGAGGGATCATTTTATGGGTTCTCTGTGTCATATCCATGTTGCCAGCATTACTCTTCTTACACTCTGGGTCTCAGGACACAGTGATGTGGTGCAGTTGATCCCACAGCTAAGAGGCTGCCAAGTGACAGGGTGGGCATTGTGGACAGGTGCTTGAGCCAGGCAAAGGGACATTCACGCCCCAGCCTGGGTGGAATAGGGCAGCACAAAAGGTTGTCAACTGCTCAGAAAGGCATGATGTTTAAAACTAGGAATACAGGGGCTAGGGCTGTAGCTCAGTGGCAGAGCGCTTGCCTAGCATGAGTGAGGCACTGGGTTTGAGCCTCAGCACCACATACAAAAAAGTCGTTTAAAAAATGCAAATTAGGGGCTGGGGATGTGGCTCAAGCGGTCGCGCACTCGCCTGGCATGCGTGTGGCCCGAATTTGATCCTCAGCACCACATACCAACAAAGATGTTGTGTCCGCCGAGAACTAAAAAATAAATATTTAAAAAATTCTCTCTCTCTCTCTCTCACTCTCTTAAAAAAAATGCAAATTAAAAAAAATAGGAGTACATGTTTTCTGGAATTTTCCATTTCATATTTTTGGACTGTGGGTAGGGTAACTGGAGCCACAGAATGTGAAATCACAGATAAGGGGGCTGTTGTGGTTCCAATTTTCTTTTTTTTTTTTTTTTTGCGGTGCTAGGGATGGAACCCAGGCCTCACACATGTCAGCCGGGCCGTCTGCAGCCCCTTTCATCTTATTTTGCAGCAGAGTCTGGCTAGTTGCCAGGCTGGCGTGGAGCTCGCACCCCCTCAGAGCCTCCCAGGCAGCGGGGATGATGGGCATGGCCTGGCCTTGTGCTCGGGGCCCTGGTCCATTGTGCTGCTCAGGACTCTGCTCTGTCTCCTCTGCTGCACTCTGGGCTCCTCAGCGCCTCCTCCCTCCCTTTCCTTCCCTTTCTCTCAGGACACTGTCTGTGGCACGTACCTGCCTCTGTGTTCTAATTTGATCTTCATTTCTAAAGTGATTTATTTTCCCTCCAAATCTATTTGAGTCCTGTCCCTTTGTTTCTGAGTTTAAGGCCATCTGACAGGGTGTGATGGTGTGCACTTGTGCTGGACAGCAGGAGACGGGGAGAGGGTATCGGGCTTTTGTCCAGGTCTCGGGCAGTTCCTGGCGTCCTTTACTATTTTTCAGTGTCTGCTTTTATTTTTCACCACTACTTATTTTCCAAGTGGGCTCTCTCCTGTGTTGCTCCCTGCACTTTGCAGGGGCCCTTGAAATCCCACAGGATAGGGCCTGACCCTCCGCTGAGCACGCTCAGGCCTCCCGAGGATGATGTCTCGGTCTGTCTTCCGTGGCCTTAATGCTTTGGAGAGCCAGTTGCCCTGTGCACCAGCCTGCAGCTTGTCTCCAAGGTCTCCTTGTGACATGTACAGACTGTTCTCAGCCCCTTGGTGAGATGACCCCCATCTGCTGCACTCTGAGACTTTCCCTGGAGGCTCAGCTCGCTGTCACCCCGACAGCCCTTCCTCACAGCAGCGGTTGCTGCAGTGGTTGCAGAACAAAGGTCATCTAGCCCCTTTGATGCTCCAGTTTCTTGGTTGGGATTCTGTGTCCATGAGATTTTACTTTTTTCTTTTGGTATTAGGGATGGAACCCAGGGGTGCTTAAGCAAGGAGTTACATGCACAGCCCTTTTTGTCTTTTATTGTGAGACATCATCTCACTAAGTGGATGAGGCTGGCCTCCTTTTTGCCATCCTCCTGCTTCAGTTTCCTGAGTAGGAGTGATTGCAGGTGTGTGCCAGTGCATCTGGTGTCATTGGTTTTCTACCTGTCCGTATTTCTAGCTCCTTTTTTTTGTTATCATTTTTTATTAATTTATTTTTTATGTGGTACTGAGGATTGAACCAGTGCCTCACACCTGCTAAGCAAGCACTCTGCCATTGAGCTCCAGCTCCAGCCCTACCAGCTCCTTTTTGACAGAGAGAAATTGGTTCCATTTTCTTCACCATGTTGATTTGTTCAACTTTAGAGTACCCAGACAATTGTTCAAGAATTGCTACTTCTTCCAGGAGTGGTGGTGCACACCTGTAATTCTAGCCTCAGCACCTTAGCAAGACCCTGTCTCAAAATTAAAACTAAGAAAGGGCTGGCTTTCAGCTCTGTGGTAGAGCCCCTGGGTTCAGTCCCCAGCACCAGTGAAGCACCCAGGAATGAAGGGGTGAATTGCTGCCCGTGGTG